GAATACGATCAGTTTATGAAAAAAATTTGAAAAAAAAAAAATCTTCAAGTCCAAAAACTGGTTTGGGCCAGTTTTTTGGTGAAAATCTTTGTAGAAATGACACCAGGTAGCCACTTTACAAGGATGCTCTTTAGGAATTAGCCAGTGCGTCCTGAATTTTAGTTTTTTAGTTCAAATTTTAAAGACAAAGTCCTGAAGTTAAGATTTTTAGTTTAAAATTTCATGAAAAAATAAATACTGATTAATCTCTAAATGGCATCCCTGGAATGACTATCTGTGCACTTTCCCCAAGAAAAGTTTTTCTTCCACTTACAAAATTTTAATTTTTCTAAAAAGTAAAATGCATGTCCAAATATAATTTTAACTTCCAAATATTATTCAACACAACTTTAAAAAAAATTATAAGTTTCAACCAAATCTATGTCTTATAACTAGCGAAATCCATCCATTTCATTTTGAAGCTGAATTAATGGCAAGAAAAAATACAAAGGATTTGCTAAAAGAAAAAATATAAATGGGATGAAAAAAAGTAACAGAGGACAAAACTGAGTAATTTCGAATAGTACTAGAATAGTTTTGGTCCTTTTCTTTTCAATAAAGTTCAAGCTTAAGAGGTTTCTTATCCAACAAAGAATAAAAGAGAAAGAGAGAAAAGAAGAAGCCAATCTGCTTTACCAAAATATAACCCTATAATTTGGTGTGTAATTAACTGATCTAAAGGTGGTCGATAATGGATAACCAGAAAGGGAATATTAGGTGAATCTGATTGGTTGACCAAATCACCTTATATTCTCATGCTTTTTAAATATTTTAATTTAAAAAAATCCTTGGTATCATGATACAAAAGATAAAATAAAAAATAAAAAATATCAAGAGCAGGTCTATTCATGCTTATCATTGTCTAATCGATCATTTAATCAAGAAGTTTGCCATTTTTCTAGAGGCTAAAAAATTGCTAAGTTATCTCTTACTAAGATAAGGAGTCATAATATATCAATCATCTAAGATGCATTAAAAAGAAAGTTTCAATTATATGTACTGAGTTTGTAAAAGAAATTTATGCTTCAAATCATCTAAACGATAGCTACAAGTAACTGTCCATATTCAGTGGAACTAATTATCTAGAAAATAATAGAGACAACTTGCAATAAGTTAAAATTTTAATAATAATATAAAATTGGTTTACGCTATCAGAGTATATATGTTAAATTTTTTGATAAATAATTTAATATTTGAAAATTAAATAGCTGAATAATAAAGACCGAATCAAACATCATTACTTGTAAAGCACAAGTTCTACTTCACTAGAACAAAAAAGGTGAAAATATTAATATTTATTATAATCCTAACTAAAAAGCTACCAACTCCATCTAGTTGCATTGAACACTATATATACTCATGAACACCATCTCAAATATTTCATCAAAACAAAATCCATTCTACTTGCATATTAAAATTTCTTCTATAACAAGGCTAATACTTTAGCTAGCAGCTAAAATTTTGGCAAGAAATGGCTAAATCAGTGAGCTTTTTTATGGTCATATCTTTTATTGCTTTTGCACCAATATGTTTCTGTAGCAAGGCCAATTATTATGGTTATTTATATCCACAATTTTACGACTGGTCATGCCCACAAGCTAAAGAAATTGTCAAGTCTGTTGTTGCTAAGGCTGTAGCTAGAGAAGCCCGAATGGCTGCCTCTTTGCTCAGGCTCCATTTTCATGATTGCTTTGTCAAGGTAAATCATATCCCTAAGACTAAAGATTAATTACTCTTGGTTAAGTGATGCTAAGCTTATTGTAAGTATGTGAATTCATGAAGCTAACATTTGAACCATTCAAGCTACGTTGCACGGGCTCTCCAAAATGCTGCCGCACTCATGCCAGATTCTCCAAAAATACACTACTTTTGGAGGATCCGACATTCATGCTAAGACATTTTCAGAGAGTCCGAGCAACATTGAATTTAAGTGAGTTTATATAGAATATTATTATGTAGCAAGCATGTAGGAGTTCTTCTTCTTTTTTTTAATAACGGTGTTCATGGAAATTTGTGCGCACCTCGTCTGTTCAATCGGTAAACTTGATGAGTTCAATCTTTAAAGTTCTTAACATTGAACTTGCTATAGTACTTTTGAAATAATTAATTCAGAATTTTATATTTATTTATATTTAGTGATTATTCACATATGCATCTATGTCCTATGTCAAGATTATTAGACTTAGTTGAAGCACATATATAGTCTTATAGCCCGTTTGGCCAAGCTTCTAAAATCAGCTTATTTTGAGAAGTGCTTTTGGTGAGATGTAGTTTGTGTTTGGCTAATTAATTAGAAAAGCACTTTTGAGCAGTAATTAGTGTTTGGCCAAGCTTTTTGAAAACTGCTTCGTTCTAATAGCCTGTTTGGCCAAGCTGCAAAAATCAGCTTATTTTGAGAAGTGCTTTTTTTCAAAAGTGCTTTTCTCAAAAGTACTTTTGTGAGAAGCAGTTTGTGTTTGGCTAATTAGTTTGAAAAGCACTTCTGAGCAGCAATTAGTGTTTGACCAAGCTTTAAAAAACTGCTTCTAAGTGTATTTTTCTCAAAAGTGCTTCTCAAAAAAGTGCTTTTGGAGAGAAGCTACTTTTTTCTGCTTCTCCAAAACTGCTTCTGCTTCTCCTCAAAAGCACTTTTTTTCCTTCCAAAAGCTTGACCAAACACCTCAATTTTTTGCCAAGACTTAGACAAACCAGAAGAAATCAATTAACATCTTTTGTGTCTATTTATTCATTACTATGATCATGTAGGGTTGTGATGCATCACTACTTCTGGACAGCAGTGGAACCCTAATAAGTGAAAAGATATCAAACACCAACAGGAATTCAGTTCGTGGATTTGAAGTAATTGATGAGATTAAATCTGCACTTGAAAAAGAGTGCCCTCAAACTGTTTCTTGTGCTGATATCTTGGCACTTGCTGCTAGGGATTCTACAGTTTTAGTAAGTAAAACCATAATCCTAGCAAATAATTAAATAATATTATGAAATTAGTTAACAAATTTGAGCTTATGTTATTTTATTTATATAGGCAGGTGGACCAAGCTGGGAAGTTCCATTGGGAAGAAGAGACTCAAGAGATGCTAGTTTAAGTGGATCCAACCATAACATTCCTGCTCCAAACAACACTTTTAATACCATTCTTACAAAATTCAAGTTGAAAGGACTTGATCTTGTTGACCTTGTTGCTTTATCTGGTAAAAAACATTCCTTAACTTTTACCTAGACTATTTATTACAGAGAAGACTAGAGGTGGCAAATGGTTATAAATAGTTTGTTTTACAACAAAATTAATCAAAATTTAGCTATTTTTTCATGCAAAGATAAAATTTGAACAAAAACACCCTTAAAAATCCAAAACAATTCCAGCATTATAATTAATATGCTGAAGTTCGAATTGTTTACATATGAAATTCCAGTAAAATGTGCTGGAGTTCCAATATAATACACTGGAAGTTTATACGCAGTATCTCCATAATCTAACATATTATGCTGGAACTTTCCGTATTTCAACTAGGGTATTTTTGTCCATATTTATTTTCGTACAAAATAGTGGCTATTGTTCAATAACTTTGCAAACGCAACTAATCCGAATACTGGCTAGTTCATGCTATTTTCCTAATTTGGACATGTCAAAATGGGTCAAACTGATAAAAGGGTCATGATGGATTATAAGATAACCTGCCCAATATGCCCAACTCCCATTCTTTTTTATATTGCCTTTCGAAAAGTAAAAAAAAAGTGAATAAATGTATTTTTAAATGATTAGCTTAATTTCTTCCAAATATACATCATCCTCGGTTTTCAAATTTTCATTTTGTATGTTTCAGTTTGAGTTGCATTTTGACCAGTCGAATTACACTAATTTGACTTGTTTGACCTAATAGTTTGATGAGTCATTTCGGGTTCAACATGTGCAGTCAATTCAGCAGACGAGTCATAACCTAACGTATTTTTAAATTTGGACGCGCATGTTTACTTAAAATTGATTGATTTTGCCACCTCTAAGTATCACACGAAGTTAATACTAGAAGAAATTTTTCTACAGGGAGCCACACAATTGGAAATGCAAGATGTACTAGCTTCAGGCAGAGGCTCTACAATCAATCAGGCAACAGTTTACCAGACTATACATTGGATCAATCATATGCTGCTCAGTTGCGGACTAGGTGTCCAAAATCTGGTGGTGACCAAAACTTATTTGTCATGGATTTTGTCTCCCCTACAAAATTTGACAACTACTATTTCAAGAATTTGTTGGCTTCAAGGGGCTTGTTTAATTCAGACCAAGTTCTTGTGACCAAAAATCAGGCATCATTAGAATTGGTGAAATTATATGCAGAAAACAATGAGATTTTCTTCGAGCAGTTCGCGAAGTCTATGGTTAAGATGGGAAATATCTCACCTTTAACTGGATACAGGGGCGAGATTCGGAAGAATTGCAGGATGATGAACTCTTAAAATATCACAACATTCAACATCAGCCTTGGTGTATTTTTATGCTTTTCTTTTAACATCATTTCCAGTTTTTTCTTTCTGTTTAGCTTGGATTGTCCTTTTCATAGTGTCCTAAATGTTAATGAATGGTTTCATATATAGACACTTGTTTGAAACACTTATTATCTTTGCAATTAGTGAATAACAGCAATTTTATCATTTAGAAGATGTCACACTTCATCTTAATTATTGGATAAAAGTGAATCAAGACATGGAAAAGAGGCTGCAGAAGATCATGTTTAATACAGTTAGGTGGACATAACTGGTAAAGTTGCTTCCATGTGACTAGGAGGTCACGGGTTCAAGCCGTGGAAACAGCCTCTTGCAAAAATGCAGGGTAAGGCTGCGTACAATAAACCCTTGTGGTCCGGCCCTTCCCCGGACCCCGCGCATAGCGGGAGCTTAGTGCACCGGGCTACCCTTTAGATGGACATAATAACAAGATAAGGTCAATAACAAAACATAAGAAGGGCATAACTGAGACAAACTTATTCCTCAGTAAGATAAATAACCAGAAACAATACATTATTCTGAGTGCTAACTTATTGCTGTTACCAGAAAGATTCTTGGTGAGGTATTATTGAGACTGCAGTGTATAACTTATGGTACATAATATCTTTCACATGCAGCACATAAAGAAACCATCTTCATTTACAACTAATGGACAGGAAAGGCCGATTTGCACACACGTACCATGTGCAGGCAACGATCCTGGATATTCAGAAAATTTTCTATAGCATTTGATTTCAAGTATGCAATCGAGTTATAATGTTGCCTTGAGTGTCGAATTATACTTGTTACACCTTATCATCATGGAACCACCACCTGGTTTCCTTTGGTGATCTGCCATTTCTACAGTTCTTTACATACCGATCATTATCGTCAGGGAGTTGCTGCACGAGTAATTGGAATTAGTAAGGACTAAAGTTAAACTAGCAAGAGAAGCTCAAAGGAAGAATTTTGTGGATTGCATATTTTTCAGAGAATGCCGTACAAACGGGCGATGGCATGCTTGGCATAGTATAAAAGACCACTAAAAGCAGCTCAAATTGAATATAATAGACACAACAAAAGGTACCTTCGCAGTTGAACTTGACAGCATGGATAGAAGGCTAATGCATATAGAACTAACAGTCATGGCAGGCGACCACGAGTCATACAAAATATCTGCAAGATAGAAAATAGTTATCAACTGCTGCTTTTACAGATACAATAATAACAACTACACCTTAGTCCCAAACAAGTTGTGGTAGAATCCTCACTGACCATGATTCTATATTTAAATTTATCTCAGCCTCTCAGGCCAATATTATGCAGAATAAAAATAAAAATAAAAGTGCTAGAAGTTTTCTATATTTCTACTACTAGTATAAGAATCTCTGATAGGGCTAAAAGACTCCTATAATAGTACAGTAACAAAATTCAGATTTGGGAAGAGTGAAAATAAATTTAGTTGTTTTCACACGGATCCAGTTTCAGCCAAATGAGAAGTTAAAAGAGGACCAACTTTTGCCAGTCCTAACCTTGAACATGCTCGGAATCTTGGAGCCATTTAGTTGGAGATGAGATTTTTCTCATTTCCGCCTTACACATTATATAATACAACACCCAGATAAAAGTATCTTGGTAAAATAATATGATTTTCCAGCAAGGTTTTGGCACTGTACCTCTGTTACTGATAAGAAAAAATAACTGAATTGAGTCATTGTTTCAAGCAAGAACTCAGTCACCAAATGTTCTGTAAATTAAAAAATTTAACAACTCATTTATCTGCATCAATCTGTAAATTTTATGCCATGTTTGAATTTCCAACCAGTTATCTCAAAATTTCTCAAACTTATTCAAGTAACTTTAACATAAGAAGAAAGACGTAAGTCACAAAACCTTGTTACGTTTCTATATCGCGTCATATATTATACCTAATGTTAACACAACAATAGCGCCTTGGAAATTTGCATAGGCATGAATAGACTTACAAACCATAGCAAATATGTTATTCATTAACAATTTAGCCTATGATCCGTCTTTATGTCCTTTTTACAGGCCAAGCATTAAGTTAGTCACCTCATCCTAAAGTTCAATTTAACCCAAGAGAAAACAAAAGGAGGGTGGGGGGACAAACTAGCAGTCACATGGGTAAATAAGAGTTAACTAAAGTATCCTTTTAAACATCATTCCCACCAATTATTTCTGGTCTAATTACTGGGTGTTTTATTTTAGCTTTAAAGGATATACATCACAGTGACAACAACTTGAATAGCTATATTAGTATGAATATTGTCAGTCATTTTTAAGTATAAAGTACTAAAACGTTATACAAGGATACAAAGAGAGGCAGATAATGTGACAGGCACCAGAAAGAGCAGCTGTGTGCCTAGCTTTAAGTTAATACAGACCTCCACAAATTTAGTGATCAAAATGAAGCTACAGCCCTTTTTTCCCAACACGGTCATAGGGAAAAAACTACATGAAGATCACAGCTAATTTTAGTTACTTATCAGAAGATAAAAAGGAAAAAAGGAAATCAAGCATAGTCATGAACTTAGCAGTGAACTTTTTCTTGTTGGTGTAGGCATAAATATAATACTGTTAAAAGTTTAGAACTCCAGAGAACAGCTTCCATGAGATAGGGACACAGGGATATTAAAGGAAATGTAAAAACTTTCAACTGAATTATGCCCGGTAAAAGTTTGCGGTTAATGAAGTGGGTGAAAACAATGAGTAGCCAGGGTTCAAATTTTGGCAGAGAGTAGAGACGAAAGGCGTAGGGTGATTTCTTCTCATTTGCCTGAGCCTTGTTGAGTAAAATCACTTAGTACTTGTACTAGTGGAAGGTAGCAGGTACCCGATGGAGGTGCGCAAAAGTTGACCCGGACACCGTCATTATCACAAGAAAAAAAAGGTAAAAAGTGATAAGGTACACTAATTATGAAATAAAAAAGAACCTTGTTTTGGAGGATGAGAGGGATAGCTGCTAATGAAAGTTGGTGCTTTGTGTTCACCTTATTAGAAAAGGTTAACTCTAGAAAGTTAAATGGAGTAATAAGCGAAAGGCATACAGCAAAAACAAAGAGTATGCCTGATTAAACTAATACGCTTCTCTGCAATTCTCAAGTTGAAATGCCAAAGTAGAAGAGGTACAAAGACCAAAAAAAAGTATATCCAAAGCTTACTCTACTAGAACTAAGAGTCTTCTCAAAAAGTAAATAAGTCCATCAAACATCATCGCTAACTCCATAACTGGATATGAATCAACAAATACTATTGGGAAATAAAAGGGGAAGAGAAACAATAACAAAAACACCAAGCCTAAGTAAAAGAGCTGATTAACATTGCGCGACAATCTACCATTCATCCCAATTATCCGCCAAGTCATTTTAGAGCATAGAGAAACCTATAATTCCTGGCATCTATTCTTTAAGTTTCAACAGTCATATCAAGCATCATTCACTACATGATTGCCAAAGATTTTTATTAGAAGCTTCATCTCATGCATTCCAAATCAAGCCCTTAGGCTCGACCAGTGACCAAATCAACAAATTTCTTGGTGATAAGAAATAGAGGAGACTTGAGCAGAGTGAATAAATACCTAAACAAATGTGCCCGTTGCTATAGATATGAGGGTGCATGGGAACTGGAGGCACAAATATCACCTGCATCAATGTAGTCGGCCATAATTAGTAGGATAGGAGTTCCAATCACGCACATTAACAAGAAACAACACCTTTCATCCAATATGAGAATATCACTGAACTGTGTCGACCATTAAATATGCACCTGGGGAGCTTCCATAGGATAATGTTCTGGGAAATCAACTTGAAGCTGATAAGTTTCATTAGCATACAGCGTTCCAGGAGCACCATTCACATCGATCACCCACCTTCTCACAAAGAACCGACATCAATCAAAAGTTATTGCAACCAAATGCCATCATCTTCTAATAATAAAATTAAGAGCGAAACTTGGTGTATAATTGGTATAATATAAAATTTTGTCCTTGATGAAATTAATGTTCCATTGTTTTAAATTGCAGAAAATGTTATTTTCAAAGGAACTCTTTTTTTGGTAATTCTCCACCAAAAAGGGAAAATAAATTTCGTCCGTTGGGGGTGAAAGTCATCTACTTTTAACAAATGTCTCAACTGTTAATTCGACCAACAAAACTACATTGTTATCAATCTTTCATACTCAAAAATATCAACAAAACACTACGGGGTCTTTTCGTCTAGAAACAAGTTATGCCGGGATTATAATACATGAATTAGTAATACAGGAATTGTAATGCATAGTATATTTTTTATCGGGCATTTATTTCTTTATACTAAAAAAGGGATATATAGGGTGTTGATAATGGGTTAATGGAAAAGAAAAAGGGCAATTTTGTGTTTTAGTTTTTAATCCATGAATTCCCTCCGACCCATATTACTTGTCCACTTTCTTTTTTACACGCCCCTTAAGAAATCATAAATAAGAAGCGTAATTTTTACTAATTTACCCTTTTAACTCTTTTAATACACTCTATTTATGTGGCTTCAAACTAATCAACTCAAGCTAATAAAGTGTTTCCAAATCGTTTAATTGTAAGGGTAAACTGGGAAAATTTTAATTAATTCTATCTTGGTTTTGTAAATTAACAAGTAATTTGTGACAGATATTTTTAGTATTTTGGAAAAGTAATATGGGACGGAGGGAGTATTACTTAATCCATGTATTTTTATCTCTTGCTATATTAGGCCGTGGCGGAGCCACCTTAGTCTAACCGTTGTCCTTTTGCCGAAAAAATACACTTTGGTGCTAGGTCAATTTCTTTTCATGTATATATACTATATGTTGGATCCCCATAGGTTCTTCTTTACTTCTTTATATTTTGATACCCCTTAGTGAAATTCCTCACTCCGCCACTAATATTAGGTATAAACTAATACATGAAGTGGTGTATTATATCATATCAAAATTAGCTATATAAGATTCAAAAATACAAACCAAATTTTACACCCTATCCTCCACCTTTACAAAATACCACATGTCAGCTACCTTTATACAGAACTAGACATTGAAAAAATCTGTGAATTCCAAAGTAAACCATTTCTCAAAATAAAAAATATTTTCTATGGAAAAGGTTCCAAATTCTCAAATAAAAACACAATAATGAAATAATTTATCCAAAGTTCATCCAGTTACATGGAAAAAAGAAATTTCAGTGACAAAGATTAAAAAATAGTAATAATAAACAGGAAAAAGGAAAGACCTTTGAAGATTATCGGAGGGTTTAAGGTTGAAACCAGCAGGAGGATTAACTTGCCACTCCACTAACTCTTTCTGGAGTCGATTGCATGCTATCTTGCTTAATGGCTGATTATTGAATTAATTAGTATAAATATCAAAATCACAGTAGTTTATGAAATATAAAGAGAGAAAAAAAAGGAAAAAGAGTAAATGAGAGGAAGAAGAACCTTGGGAGAGGAGTGGGAGGCGCTGGTCATGGCTCGCCGCGTTATGTCCATAGAGAGGAATATGAATAGCTTGATTTTCAAGTCCCAACTCCCCCGTTAGAAGTGTTGCTTTTGTACTAGTCCATTCCGATTTATGTGATATATAATTTGAATGTATTAAAAAAATTATAATTTTAACCATTTACAAAGTTTTTGAAATTTGTGGCCTTTAATATATCATAAATAATATTTAATATGTATTTTCTTTTAAACGGACAAAAAATAAAAATATGTCATATAAACAAAAATAGTTGGAGTATTTTATAATTATATGTTTACTCCTTTATATTACAAAAATTGGAGGAATAGATTACAGAATTTTTTTTTTTTATTTCTCACACGGTACCCGGTACTCACATTGGAGCCCGACTAATCCGGATTCGCGCCGGGACACATTGGGAGGTAAAACGCTTCCTAACAAAGGCGACTCCATACCCAAGGGCTCGAAGTCGAGACCTCTAGAAATAGATTACAGAATGGGAGGAAAAGAGACCCCTCCATTCGTCTCATTTTATGTAAACATATTTGATCATTGAGTTTTAAGAAGAAAAAAAGATTGTTAAAACTCATAGTTTTAAATAAATGATAGTATTTATATAACTATAAATGCTATCATTAAGAATAGAAAATTTAAGAATAAATTATTTCTAAAACAAAAGGTGATCTTTTTAAATAGACTAAAACTTAAGTAACACACTTTCTTTTTAAAATTTTGTTTCAATAAGAAAGACACTAGCTATATAAATTTTGGAACTTTTTAATCTTATGTCTCATTTATTCTTAATGATGTTCACTTGTAATTATAAAAAAATTATGACATATATCTAAGATAATAATTAAACAATATATCAAATCAAACTCCTTCATAAAAAATAAACTACTAGAAATGACAATATTTGCTAATTCTTACACGGTTTCCTCTAACATTATATACTGATAGACTTGACCTAAGTAAAGGCTTTTGATACCCTAATATATTGGAACTACATCGTATATTTGCTCCCAAAATAATATTTGTAAATATATATTTTTTGTGTATTAATGTACAATATATATATATATATATATATATATATATATATATATATATATAATATTTTTTTGTACATAATTAAAGTATAATTTTAATATATTTAGATAATGGTTACATTTTTGACTGAATGACTAAATATGTTATAAGCCCTAAGATATTCTACCTAACTGGTGTGGATATACAACAACATTAAAGTACAGCCTCAATTCATATAATTTGCTATATATTTTCTTGTTGATATATTTTAAAAATGGAAGCTCGTAAATAGTATGGAAAGAAGAAAGTAACAAATGAAGAAGCTTTAATCAAATTGCAACATTCTACCTATATTATAAATGAATAGTGAATACGTAGTGAAATTGGATTATTATTTTGGCGCAATAGCCCACATTTCATTTACTTATTATTCACCTCTTTCAACCCCCTTTCTGGTTTTTTCCTTAGTTTCTTAATAAAAACTACAACAACAACGACCTAGTGAAATCGTACTAGTGGGGTCTGGGGAGGGCAGTGTGTACGCAGACCTTACCCATACCCCGAAGCAAGGACAGATTTAGGGGGGCCCTTCGCCGAAAAATTACACTGCATATATAAGGCAAAATCTGTTTTTTACCTCTATATATTAACTTTTGAACCCCCTTAACACAACCTAAAAGTGTAGTTTAGTGGTCAAGGGGGTTCAAAACCTTCACAAGGTCATAAGTTCAATTCCCACTAGCTACAAAAAAATAATTTTGAACCCCCTTCGTGGAGATCCTGCCTCCGCCACTGCCCCGAAGAAGTAGAGAGGCTGTTTCCAAAAGACCCTCGGCTCAAGAGGACTTCTTAATAAAAATTGCTCGTTTTTTTTTTTGGGGGGGGGGACACCAAGAAACCCGTAGCCGCTACAGCCTCTGCCCTTCAGTGAGCACTCTGTGCGCACTGGATAAACCCCCATTGTGTATTAACCTGCAAATCACACAAAGAATATAAACCATACTAGACAAGCCATGTGCGACAGCCTCCACCGAGAAGGCATTTAGGGGGATCGATCTAAGTCATCTATATTATGAATGATTGCCCTCCAAATCAACTGGGTCATCCCCGAAGGGATAACTTGGTCGTATATTGTAAAGTGCTTTTCTTTTAATGTTGAATTTTTAAAATAAAAAAATATTTAAGTAATCAAAAGCAGTTGTACTAAATTAAGTTGCGCCGCCACCGCAAGCTCCTTTAACGCAGCCGCAAATGTTTTTTAATCCAAATGAATACATACAAACTTAAATAATTCCAACTACAACATAGCTATTCTGTAATAGACAGTTATACACCAAACCTAGCCAATAGGCAATGAATGGAGAAATCCCAACCAAATATTTTTCATTTACCTACGCCTCTTCTCTAGAAAGATCATCTTGTAGCAAATTCAAGAAATTACTAGTAATTTGTTCATTTATTAATATAATAAATTTGCAACCATTATACTACAACTGCAAGTTCTTATATCAGTTTTTATAGCATGTTCTATTATCACCTCAATTAAGGCACAAAAAGAACAGAATTGAATGAAAGTAATGTACTGTTGGCTAGCTCAAAGAAAGGAAAGTGTTGGGCTAAAACGGCTCAATGACACTTTTAACATAATGTAATATTGTCCGCTTTAGACCAAGCCCGTACGGTTTTTCCCAAAAGGCCTCACACCATTAAGAGATCCCTACACCTTATATGTAGACTCCCAATCTTTTCAGCTACCAATGTGGGATTTGTTCGTACACCCAACAGAAAGGAATCTGATTACTTGCAGATACTAAGCTAAAAAATCAATTTTGAAATGATATATTGTGCGATAATACTTTGTTCTTTTCTTTTTAGGATTGTGCTTCATTCAGGGTAAAAAAAAAAAGACATGTCCATGCATCTTGAAACTAATGAGTAATGACTCCGTCTATTGCACTTTGTTGGGTACTGTACTAGTCTGTTCCAAAAAAAATATCATATTTCTTTACAATAAGAAGCTTTTATAGTCACATAAGTGTATACGGTCAAAATCAGAGGCCTCGGATTTACAGGATCGAGGGTCCATCATAGGCCCGAGTTCAGGCAAGGTCGGGTTCGAGACCGGTGGACCAGAGACAAGCTCGAAGATAGAGTGCAATGCCCGGAGATAAGGGTACGAGGAATACCAAGCCCGAGTATACTCGACCCCGAAATAGTACCGTTAGGAATTTGTAATAGAATGAGCTAGATTCCTGCCACATCCCCATAATCGTGGCACAAATCCCGGAACAAGATTGTACGATTCCGTACTAGGCGGTTAGACAGCTGTATCAAGAAATATTCCTTATTTAGGTTCCCCTATTATATAAATGGGACCCCAATCATTTGTAAGATCATCTGATCACTGAGCAAAGAATATACTCTCTACCTTTTTGCCTAATGTTCATCAGCATAGTCCTTTAGCTCTATTGTTCTTACTTTACTTTTATTATTTAACTGTTCTTATTCCAAGCCTACCTCGAGGCCACCGAACTCGAGGTCACTGCTGCTGAGTAACTTTGATTTGATTCACTTGTCTCTTTCATTTCTACTTCGTACTTCTTGATCATTAATTCGTATTGAACTAAATCACGTATCTTTAAAACCACAAATCAAATTTAATTGTTACTCGTATCTTCGAGGTAAACAGTTTGGCGCCCACCGTGGGGCTAAAGATAATAGTGATTATTTCTTTACTGATTCTCGTTAAACACGTTGTCTTTACACTTTTTCTTGTTAAGATTTTTTGATTCTCAGGCTAAAACATGTCTAGCACACAAAACGCACATGTTCATGACAATGAAGGTCTTGGAGAAAACAGCAGTATAGGGGTCGGTGTACCACCAATAAACCTTGAGGAAGTACCAAATATGGAGCCAGTTGATATCAGTTCACATAATGCTCTAAACGCGGATTCAGGCACGGACCCCTTAGGGAATGCACGCAGGAAAGCCCGACTAGGGGACCAAGGAACACCAGGAGTAGGAGATGGGGGAGTCAGCCTCCAAGTGATATTTGAGATGTTGCAGGCTCAGCAAATCGCTATTGCTCAACTTCAAAGTCGAAATAAAACTCCGAGTGTAGCTGAACATGAAAACAATCGACGTGCTTAGCCAACGCCAGAAAGGTCAAATGGAAACGGCCCGGGGACTGACCCCACGATTATGAAGATGCTCGAAGAGCTCACTAAGAGGATCGAGTTGGGGAAAAGAAAATTGAAGACAATGATAAGAAGGTGGAGACTTATAAATCCCGTGTAGACCAAATACCGGGGGCACCTCCAGTTCTGAAAGGGTTGAATGCTAAAAAGTTCATACAAAAACCATTCCCCCAAAGTGCGGCTCCGATGCCTATTCCTAAAAAGTTTCGCATGCCCGATATACCCAAATATGACGGAACAACCTACTCTAACGAGCATATTACTTCATACACTTGCGGAATCAAAGGAAATGATTTGAATGACGCCGAGATTGAATCAGTCCTGTTGAAAAAGTTCGGAAACATTGTCGAAAGGAGCCATGATTTGGTATCACGGCTTACCTCCTAACTCTATTGACTCATTTGCTATGTTAGCAGACGCCTTCGTGAAAGCACATGCCGGGGCCATAAAAGTGGCCACGAGAAAATCAGACGTTTTCAAGATAAAATAAAGGGACGATGAGATGTTGAGGGAGTTCGTGTCCAGGTTTCAGATGGAAAGAATGGAACTACCACCGGTCTCCGATGACCGGGTAGTACAGGCCTTTATGCAGGGTTTGAACGAGCAGAGCTCGATTGCTTCTTGACAGTTAAAGCAGAACTTGATCGAGTATCCAGCCGTGACGTGGTCAGATGTGCACAACCATTACCAATCTAAAATCAGGGTTGAGGACGATCAGTTGGGAGCCCCCTCAGGTTCAGTTCACCCGAACAGGTTCGCGGCCAAACCCCCGAGAGACACAAACCGGGAATCAAGATTCAACAAAGAACAATATCAGCCATATGCGGACCGAAGGAACAGCGGCCCGAGCCGTAACACTCCTC